CGTTTCGAGCTGTAATACACTTTACTTTAGTAGGATATTTGGTTCAATATCGATATTAAATGTTTGACAAGCTCCAAAACATATCATGAATTAATGAGAATGTTTGGTACAGTTATCCAACGAAATTCGGAAAATGTTGAGAAATTGTACTTTGCTCTCATACTAAGAGAATGTATCCTTTTTTTCGTTTCTGATTTGGTAAATTTATCAGATATCATTGTCAAAAATTCAAGTGGACGACGCAATGACGCATTTAAAGAAAGTTAGACCACAGTTTAGTGGTCCGTACGGGAAGGTACGGATCGAATTTTGCAGGACGAATTACGGATACGCTTCGACTGCGTTTCAGAATGCTTGGGAACTTTGTCAGAAAAAATTATTTCTGCAAGCGAACGAAAGGGAAAAGAGTGGTACGAAAGCTGTGAAGCCTGTGATGGACTGCGAAAAGGGACGGGCAAAGAATGGTACGATACAAAAGTCTCCTCTCATTTCCTATAACCTGAATGTTTCCAAAATGTCTGGAATCATTCTTCTTCTTGTCCAAAAGCTTTCGCTTCCCGGAATATGATATACTTTTATAGATACTATCTAAAAATCAATTAATTTATAATATAATAAAAACTAGATTTGAGAAAACTATGTTTTATTTTTTTTTCCGTATTGTCAAGATGCTTATGATTAAAAAAAAAAAATCCCACGGAATTATGACGAAAACGTCGTCTGTCGAAAAGTGGACGAAATTATCGCAATATCTTTTATATATATATATATTAATTGATGAGACATTCACAAAAAAATCATATGTATCAAGCAAAAAGAATTTAAGTGACACATCAATTAAAATAACTAATCTAAACATTTCAAATAAGTCTACATGCCATGTTGGAAATCTCTACAGATTTACATTATTTTTTTAGCATGAACTCACAAATACATGTGTTACAAATTTAAATACAACTAAAATATAACTTTTTGATATTTTAAAATATTATATAACATAATATTTTAATGATTAATCATTTATCGATATCAATTAATTATAAAAATTGTACTAATGTCCATTTGGATAGTATATGTGATTGATTATACAATCTTTTTTATATTGTTTAATTGTATCTATATTACTCTATTTAAAGTTGCGGTTTTGTTATAAACGTAAAACTTTACAAACTAAACATTTAAAAAAAAAAACAAAATTTACATACTAACACGATATTATTTTTAGTTTTGGTGAACTCAAAGAAGTTTGAAAGAACCAATAATCTCAAACATATTCGATTTACATAAAAAACGTTTACATTTAATCTAAGTGTCATACAAATTAAATTTTGTAAGATAAAATATATTTATCTATATGGGAGATATACTATTTGATATTTGTTATTTCTAATTTTTCCGTATATTATAAAAAATTAGGTGATTCGTCCGCGTACACGTGGGTAACTTATTTATAATTTTGTTTTTAATTTTACACTTTGAAAATTAAAAATATGTATTTTTTTATTTGTCTTTTATAGTATTGTTGATATTTTTGTTGTTAACTTTTTTGTCAACAATTTTTTTTTTTGTTAATAATATGAATTTTCGAAAGTTTAGTTTTACTATTTTTATTATTTATTTATGTAAACTTGTCAAATCAAATATATGATAATTGATAAACCAGAATGCACAATCTATTATAAAAAGTTGAGATTCATCTCGTAAAATATTGAATCCTCTTCTTGGTCATCTTTTCAAAATATTGAATCCTCTATTGTTGATATTATTTTCATATTGAATTTTGAATAAACTAAATTCGAGATCGAAATATTAAAAGGTTAACATGAACAACACTTCCTAATTTTGGAAAAATTAATAATATTCATACAACATAAACCAAGTACTATATGATTTTCTCTTTTTCGGTTTTTCAAAAGTTTGTTGTTTTCTATTTTCCTTATGGTTAACGTCTGTTACTCTTTTTCATATTTTGTTAAAGAAAAATTATCTTTTTATTTATAAGGAATGATTAGGAAAATATAAGATTTAGAGATTAATTTCACAAATTTAACGATTTACTATGGCTTTACCTTCTTGTTTTTTCAGATTGAATATTTTTATATTGGTTTTTTTATCAAACATTAAATATAATACGACAATGTTAAACTGATTTTTTTTAAATGCAAATGTGAAAGTCTATTTGCGAACATGATCAGATGAATTGACCATTGGTTTAATAAAGATTTTATATATTGATTTTGTGGTTTGATGCACAATAGGTTGCGATAAGGGTTGTCCTTGACACAGACAACATACCTTTCGATGATATCATTGATATGTTACATGCATATGAGATGCAGCTACCTTCCGATGAGATTTTGCCATGGACAGTCAACTAATCGATATTAGATATTGACCATCTCACAGCTGAATGCGATTGGAAACCGCAAACGAGGAGAGGTATTGAGTAATTTTAATCCATTAACTAAGCTGATTGGGAGGTAAAGGAAATTAATACTTCCTAACTCTTTGGATCGAATCTTATCTAGTCAACTAATTATACTAGAGAAAAAATAAATTGGACCCACCTCATTAAAGAATCCAACTAACATACACCCAACTTATAATGTAGGTCTATTAATAACAACACGTAAAGTCCAAACCAACAAACCAGATCTTAGAAAAACACACACTTGTGTCTCTGAATGAAATCAATGGAGGAAGAAAACATAAGAGTAATAAAAATAACAGTGTTTGGAGTAATCTCATGGGCTCTCATTTTCATCCTCGTCAGAAGAATCTTCTCAAACTACTCGTTCGACTTCAGCACTCGTATTGTCTCCACACTTCACGCCACAGTCGCTGTAGCTTTAGCAACTCTCTCGATTCAAGATTGGTCTTGTCCAGTTTGTCCCAATGCTTCCAAATCATCTCTCCAACAGATGGAAACGTTTTCGTTTTCGTTGTCCTACATGATCTACGATCTCATTTGTAGCCATTTTGATAAAGTTATTAGCATTGATAATGCGGTTCATCATTCTGTCTGCATTCTTGGTTTTGTAGCTGGACTCTCCTACCAAAAGGTAACATATGTATTTTGAGTTTTAACCGTAATACGTAATCTAGTACTTGATATTATATGTTATGGGATTTTGGAGAAATAATTAAGCTATTTTTTCTTTCTTCTGGTGAAATTAAGTGTGGGTCCGAGATGGTGGCAGCAATTTGGATAACAGAGATATCGAGTCCGTTTCTTCACCTCAGAGAGATTCTTAAAGAGATCGGTTACAGAGACACTGACCTCAATCTTGCAGCCGATGTGAGTATTTTTTATATACCTTCATAAATGATAATCTTAGTTAATTGTGATTAGTATGATTGACAATCCTTAGCAGTAATCTCTAATGAATTAGAATTGGCATTGTCGTTAACTTCAGATAATATGTATGGTTAGAGATAAAAAAATTTCATGATTAATGTGGAATAAATTCAAAAATTATCGATTTTTTAGGAATATAATTATCAAAACATACACCTAAACATAGTCAAACTGTCAAATCTTGCAAGTTTTAAGAAAATCTCGAAGATGTTGATATGAGGATACCTAGCGTGTCAAAGTTAAATAAAATACTTGTGAATACTCTAAAAACAAATCGTGTATATAAACATCACCCAATCATGTAATTAATTCCCCACGTTCATGAGACGTTGATATGAGGATACTCTAAATTTGGTGATCTTTATATACACGATTTGTTTTTATGAATTTTCCTAAAAAATATTCTTAAAAGCCTTTGTTGCCATTTAATATCAAACCATAGTTATATTATATAACTTTAAAATTGATCTAATAATTAAGTGATAACTGATATAGGTATGTTTTGCAACAATCTTCTCATTGGCAAGAATGGTGGGTGGACCTTACCTCGTTTATGTAACTGTATCAGCTGATAATCCCATCCTCATTAAGGTATCTTAATCATTTTATGCTACATTTCGTTTCAGCCTCTCTTTTTTTACTTCTATCGTTTCATCAAATTCTCCATATAATACTTCTTCTAAAAATTGGAAAGTATTCAAACGCCAAACTGTAGTACTTGATATCATTAAGATAAGTTTATGTACATTCCGTTTCAATCTTTTTTTTAAACACTTTATTTTATTAAATCTTAATCTGACTTAAGACATTACATCATAGAAGAATTTCGATAGATGAAATGTAAAGAAAAAGTAATGGTTTTTTCTGCATCGAAAATTAAGCGAGGACAAATATTTTTGATGACACATTGTCTTTTCTGCATAGGAAATTAAGGAAATTTTATATACTAGCCTCATTATGCTGATTAATCTCATTATGTATCACAAATTTCAATTGAAATACGATAACTAATCTAAAATTATTTTATTGTTTGTAGGCAATGGCATGTGGATTACAGCTCGTGAGCGCATTCTGGTTCTATAAAATACTCAAAATGATGAGATACAAATTCATCAAAAGGTCAAAGTCCGACAAAAAATCTGTGTGATGTTAATTTGCTATTAAATTGGTTATAGACTAGAAATTGATCCACATATGTGAAGTTCGGATAACTTTGTAATGGTTTTCTTTTAACTTTAATTTTTGCTTCTAATTATTTAAATAGATCCAGTTTAACATATTCAAAATATAGTTATGTATAGCAATAACTTTTGAAATATGTGGGGAATCAGTTACATGATTCTGAATTTTCTAGTGGAAAAAATCTAGGGATTTAAGAGTAGTAAAATATAATTGTAATGTAAGCGATTAAGATTTCAAAAATAATTCTAATTGATCATATTTTAGTGGCTTGAATATTAAATTATTTGAAAATATTAAAATATATAAAATATTATTGCAAGTGATGATGAAACATTAGCTGGTGTGGGCTTACTACAATTTTGCATAAGGAAAAAGATAAGTATCAATTTCTTTGCTACGTACTTTGATTCAAATTTTGAAAGAAAATAAATCTCTTTACATTTTTTAACTAGATATCGCAGAAGTCATAAAAAATTGTTGATCCGGCTCAGAAGGCAACGCAAACGCGGCCACGATGACAAAGAAATCAAGATAAGTTTTCTAATGCCTATTCATAAACTCTCTTTAAGTATAATGATTACTCTCAATCTAGAGTCTAGCACCTTTTTCCATGAGATCAAGCAAAAAGACACGTCCTTACCATTTTAACTATCTAAATGCTTAGCTACTATTAATGATGTATGTTGATAAAAGTTAAGTGCATAAGCACAATGCTCTCAGAAACAAGGTTAAACATCTACAATGAATAAATATGGATGTGTTCCTAAAGCAACTAAAAGCTACGTGCTCAGCTTAAATAGTCTACAAGACTATATCATCTATGGTAAAGGCTAGGCGTAGCCTAACACCAGTGGCTAAAAAAGAGAAGCTACCAAGGTACTCATTACAACAACTTTGCTCTGGTTAAAGATCATTGCGGAAATCAGGGCGGGCATGACCCTAAGGCCACTACGAAAATTTGATCATGACCGGACTTCGGAAAAGTCGTTAGAAGGCATGACCTAACACCATTACAAGTGTTGATGATCCAAAGGTCAGATCAAAACTTTAATCATGATCCTAATGTCATCAAAAAATTTGATGGTGACAAAAGAGTCATTGCAAATCATGGCCAAAGAGCATTACAAAACTCCGAAACTTAAAAGAAAAAAGTATTGCGATGTTCGAAAAACGAACCGTAGTAGCTCCAAAAAAGCATTACAAAATTCAAAGAAGAATTTGTAGTGGCTCCAAAAATTCTTAAGTAGAGCATTACAAAGCTCTGAAACTTAAAAGAAAAAAGCATTGTGACGTTCGAAAAACGAACTCTAGTAGCTCCAAAGAGCATTACAAAATTCAAAGAAGAATTTGTAGTATCTCCAAAAACAGGGACATAGCCTCCTAAAAAGGCAGTGACTAACTATACAAAAGCATAAATGAGAAGCTTAAAACCTTCTTAGAAAGATGAACGATTACGGTCACTATAATGCAAAGAAGCATATACTAGTGTCTACGGTCACAATAAAAAAAAATGAGGGACGCCTTCAAATATGATTGGAAGGTGTTCACATCATTTCAATCAAAATTCAGAGGAAAAACCTCAAATATAATTAAAAGTATTCTTTGCTTCAATCTAAAAAAGCATAATATCCCAGAAGCAAAGCTTCAAATGTGAGCATTCATCGCTTCAATTGAAAACTAAAGGCAACGCCTCCAGTTAAATAGAAGTGGTGACTGCAACTTCAAAGGATGGAAAACATCTATTCAAAATAAACAAAAGTGACTACGGTCACTGCAATAAAAACTTGAAGTAAAGCTTCTTGAAATATAAAAATGATGATAGTCACTATAATAAATCAAAGGCAATGGCTCTAAGAAGATAGTAATGTTAATAGCCATTACAGAAAAAACAGAGACAATTGTCTTAAGAAAAAGTAGTGATGACTATCACCACATACAAAACAAATCAAAGGTAAAACCTCATGAAATATAAAAAATGATCATGATTGCTATAAAAGTAACGGCTATGATCATTTTATATACAAAGAAGTGGTTACGATTGCGATGAAAAAATTGCTATTACCATAAGAGGAAGCGATCACGATCGCCAAAAAGAAATTCAGTGACTATGGTTGTTAACTAAAATATAGTAACAATGACCACTAGAATAAATGATCTAGGGGGGGCAATGCTTCCCAAGAAAGAAAAGCGACCAACGTCACTTCAACGGAAAAAACGAGGTAAAACCTCCT